CCAAAATGATCAAAGGTTTGGAAACCAAGCCCTTGGAGGAGAAACTTAGGGAACTGGATATGTTTAGTCTGCAGAAGAGAAGGTAGAGGGGGGACATGATAGCCCAGCTAAAATGTTTGAAATAACATTATATTGAGGAGGGGGCTAACCTGTTTTCTATTGCTCTAGAGACTAGGTCATGAAGAAATCGGTTCAAATTACTGAAAGAGAAATTCCACTTGAATATTAAGAAGTACTTCCTAACAGTAAAGGCTGTTCGACAGTGGAATATACTGCCTGGGGAGTATGGCAGAGTCTCCTTTGCAGGTTTTTAAGCAGAGACTGAGTGGCCATCTCTTGGGAATGCTTTGATTGAATTTTTCTGCATGGCAGTGGGTTGGACTGGATGACTCTCTTGGCCTCTTCCAACTCTTCTTAATTTTATGAAATAATTGTTGAAATACTTTTTTTGATGTCAGTAGCGACTTGAGAAACAGAGAATTGGCCGTCTGCAAGGACGTTGCCCAGGGGACGCCCGAATGATTTACTATCCTGTGGGAGGCTTCTCTCATGTCTCCGCATGGGATGCTGGAACTGACAGACAGGAGCTCATCCAGCTCCCTAGATTCGAACTGCTGACCTTTTGGTCAGCAGTTCAGCCGGCACAAGCGTTCAAGCCATTTATTTATACTGGTCGCCTTTGATAATTAAGCCTGAAACTTCATGCAAGTTATTCAAAACAAGGGTTAAACCCATTGCGGCTGCAGGGGTTCTCACTGAAATACCTAACTCTTGCTGGCTTTGCTTTTAACACAGATACTCAAATAGATTCCATGCATGTGTTCTTGTGACAAGGACAGATTGTCATATTCCCCCAGAATATGAATATGCTAGTAAAAACAATACATATGTTTCACCATAAAAATTGTTCTGGCGACACATTTACTGCCTGCCTTCAAATGCCCCATAAGCCAAAGTTAAATACATTCCATATTTATTAAGGGATATCTGCATACCATATTCCATGTCTTTAGGCAGTGTGGAGCCCCCAATGGTGCAGCGGGTTAAACCGCTGAGTTACTGAACTTGCTGACCAAAAGGTCGGTGGTTTGAATCCGGAGAGTGGTATGAGCTCCCACTGTCGGCCCCAGATTCTGCCAACATAGCAGTTCGAAAACATGCAAATATGAGTAGATCAATAGGTACCGCTTTAGCAGGAAGGTAATGGCGCTCCATGCAGTCAAGCTGGCCACATGACCTTAGAGGCGCCTATGGACAGGCTCTTCCGGCTTAGAAATGGAGATGACCACCACCCCCAGAATCGGACGCAACTAGACAATGTCAAGGGAAAACCTTTACCTTTAGGCAGTGTGGAAGTTTCATTTCATGTGCACAAGAGCAAACCCAAGAAACTACATACCAGAAATTAGCAAAGTGTTGAAATTTAACAGCAAGTCCTTAGTATTTTTTAGCTTCCCCCCATCCAATCTCCCTCCCCAAGTTACAGGCATTCACAGACTACTTACCTGTCACTAACTGGCAAATTATCTACTCTATTGTCTAATTTTCTTAATAGGCGTAATCTTATCCTAGTCATTAAACCAAAATCTCACTTTATCTCAGGGTGGTTTAGATCTGCTATTAGTCTAGTACATATAACTAACAAATGGTTTCCACACAGCCTTGAACAAATTATCTTTTATGTCTCCTCTCTCTAATCTTACTTTGTACTTTTGCAGATAAAACTATGGCCTGTTTATCCAATTCTGTATTGATAAATTCTCTATTTTTCCCATGCTTTTTCTATCTCCATCCTTACAGCACATACCAGAAATATAGTGATATAAGGTCTTTGTTTAGTAGATTATTATTTTAGGATTTTATGTGATAACATAGGAAAATTGCAGAAAAGTCAGTATTGTATATATTACGATAGAAAACAATCTTTACTAACAAAACATGAAAATGAGGAAGAGGTTTTAGGATTAACCAAAAATTCTCAGTTGGATGGGATATTTCTACTAAGTATCAACATTTTACATAATTTCCCAATAGATCTATCACTAAACAGCAATCTTCAACACCTTTCTGATACACAGCATTTAAAAGCTCCAAATAATTCCAAAAGAGGTACATAGTAGAACCTATTGAATGAAATCGTTTGAGTCAAAAGAGCCCTTAAGTCTGTATCACATTATTATGTGGAAAAAAGAGACAAGGAATGAGCAGAATAAACTCTATGAACAGAACAAACTGCAGGAAGCAGAAATGTAAATGAATAGCCTAGAATCCAAAGGTATACATCACCCACAACATGAAAGAAGACAAAACCATCTTTGTCAAATAAACGATTTGGTCAAGCCCTTATTTCCAAAACCACACATAAGGTTTCCTGAGAAAGGTACACTCTTCAGCTGAAATAGGATATGTACAATAGACCTACAGCAACTTTCCTTCATTTAATAAGACGGAAACCATCTTGAGTAGAGAAGCACAACAGCAAGTTCCAGTGCCACACGGACAAGAAATGGTTTTATTTTCTGCTGAGCAGGAGCTAACCTTGACTGAATTCATGAAAGCTCGCTATTTTGTTTTCTCTCATTCAAGATTAAATACACAGCACAACCCCCCCCCCCCGACCCATATTGGCAGGCGATACATTCCAAGATACCAGAAACCATGGGTTACAGTGAATCCTGTATTGTGACTATACTTGGGCAAGAAGCACACCACAGAATGACACTGGAGGACATGGAGAGGCCCACAAACACTTCCGGCTTGGGGGGGGGGGGGAGTGCGGTTTTTTGGACTGTGTATATAATGAAGTCAAAGTAAAAAAAAAACAGYCAAGTGTTTACATTTTATTTTGTCAAAGGCTTTTATRGTCAGAATCACTCAGGGATGCAGTAAAAATGCCAGCCACAGATGTRGGTGAAACATCAGGAGAAAATCCTGCTAGAAAATGGCCCCATTTACATTTTGTGTGCAAATTAATAAACCCCAGATAAAGCAATCCCTGGGAATGTTCCCGTGACCTTTGATCTGTCAACACATAGGGAGGCAGACACAGTTTTACAAAGGCGATCTCATGCCTAGGCCCCTTTCACACAGCTGTATAAACTCCATATTGAACTGGATTATATGGCAGTGTGGACTCAGATGACCCAGTTCAAAATTGATATTGTAGATTATTTGCCTTGATATTCTGGGTTATATGGCTGTTGGAAAGGTCCCGAGTGACCTTTGATTGATCAACACCTGGGGCCCTTCCACACATCCCTATATCCCAGAATATCAAGGCAGAAAATTCCACATTATCTGAGTATGGACTCAGCAAACCCAATTCAAAGCAGAGATTGTGGGATTTTCTGCCTTGATATTCTGGGTTGTAGGGATATGTGGGAGGGCCCCTGGAATACCTGCTTCACATTGCAGGTCCTTCCACGTAGCCAGAAGATCAAGGCAGAAATCCCACAATATCTGAGTGTGGACTCAAATAATCCAGTTCAGAGCAGATATTGTGGGATTTTTTGCCTTGATATTCTGGGATATAGGGCTGTGTGGAAGGGCCCCTGGAATATCTGAGTCCACATTGCGGGTCCTTCCATGCAGCTAGAAGATCAAGACAGATAATTCCACAATATCTGCTTTGAACTGGATTATCTGAGTTCACACTGTCATATATTCCAGCTCAAAGCAGAAAATGTGGGATTTGATTCAGCTGTGAGGAAGGGGCCCAAAGGAGCCATACATAGTTTTACAAAGTCAGTGTCTTACCTAGTGAGATATCGTTCAATCTCCCACTAAGGGCCCTTCCATACAGCCTGTATTCTAGAATAGGTAAAAGTAAAGGTTGTTCCCTGACAGTAAGTCCAATCATGTCTGACTCTGGAGTGTGGTGCTCATCTCAATTTCTAAGCCAAAGAGCCAGCGTTGTCCGTAGACACCTCCAAGGTCATGACTGCATGGGGAGTCGTTACCTTCCCACCAGTGCAGTACCTATTGATCTACTCACATTTGCATCCACACTCAAATAATGTGGGATTTTCTGCCTTGGTATTCTGGGATATTGGGCTGTGTGGAAGGGCCCCCAGTTAAAAGCACATATTGTGGGACTTTCTGCCTTGATATCCTGGGATACAGTGCTGTGTGGTAGGGCCCTGGGTTATCTGATTCCACACACAAATAATGTGGGATTTTCTGCCTTGATATTCTGGAATATTGGGCTGTGTGGAAGGGCCCCCAGTTCAAAGTACATATTGTGGGATTTTCTGCCTCGATATCCTGGGATATAGGGCTGTGTGGAAGGGCCGAAAGTCGTCCATTATTCTGCTGACTCCTGGACCGGCTGAAAAATTGCCTGGCTGAAGCACTAGGCCACTTTGGCGCTGCTTCCTTCCACTCACAAGAGGGCTTACCAGAGCGGATGGGGCCCTGGAAATGTCATTCTCCGCAGGCGAGGAGGGACAGCGGCAAGAACTGTCCCTGGGACCTGGCAGGAGGAGATGCTGCCCCCCCCTTTCCAGGTCTAGAGACACGTTTTATCCGCTCAGACTTTCAACCTCTCCATCAACTACAGTCCATGGCGCTTCTCCCCGACCCTCTGCATCCTATTTTCCCGGTCGCGAGCCACCAAAGGCCCCAAAATGGACTCCCATCATCAGCTGATTCCTGCTGTGTATGCAGTCAAGAGGACTCTTGTCACCAACAAGCGAATGAGCACCTCAGAGGCCAACTGCAATAGTCTGTATATCTCAAGGATTACGGTTGCTTGGCGAGAAACCAAACGCAGAGGTGCGAAATGGCATTTGTTGTGATGGCAGCGAGGCTGCGGACCACCGGCCTTCCGAGAGAGCCAGGGCAGAGCGCGCGCGCCAGGCGGGAGCGCGAGGAGGGGAGAGCGCGAGACGGGAGCGCGCGCGGCCCCCCTCCCTTTCCCTCCCTCCCCCCATCCCCTCATAAACGGATTCCACCCTCGACGAGGCCTGGTGGTTCCCAAGCGAAAGGCCCCGCTCTCTTACCTGAGGCGTTAGCAGCAGCGGCGGCGGCGGCGGCCCTCTCTCCGGCTTCCACGCTGGACAATAAACCACCTCGTATCAATGTTTCCCCGCTGTGTTTTGCCTCCGGCGACAAGAAAAGCCCTCTCTGCGTGACTGACTTCAGAGCGACGCCAGTTGGAGGGCCAATGGGCGGCGGCGGCGCCTCCCCCTCATTAACATGCTTCGCTCTGGAAGCCTCGCTGCGCGCGGGAGAAAAGGAGGAGGAGGAGGAGGAGGAGGAGGAAGAAATGGAGGAGGAGGAGGAGGAGGAGGAGGGAAACCGAGCCTGCCTGCCTATCTCCCGTTTGGCTTCTCCCTCCCTGAGCTTCCTTCCAGAGGCTATAGAGACGCTGGCAACCGGCTGAAGGAGGAGAGAACGAGAGGAAGAGATCCAGGTCTGTGCCTCCTTCTTTCCTTTGATGCCACCAGCTAAATCATCACACTAGAGAATGAATGCACTTTAAATCCGGTTGCTGCCTCCTGCAGAATTCTGGGGTTTGTAGTTTAGGGAGGAGCCTTTAACAGCCCCAGAGGGGCTGTTAAAGGCTCCTCCCTAAACTACAAACCCCAGAATTCTGCAGGAGGCAGCAACCGGATTTAAAGTGCATTCATCCTCTAGTGTAGTGTGATGAGGCTGCTGCAGGGCTCCTTAAACATCCCCCGCCAGTGATGCCAGGTATAGTATACAAATCAAACATTTGCAAGGCTTGCTAAAGAGGCGGATTTTGCTTTTTTTGTGTGGCCTTCATTTTAAAAAATTATGGAATAACCATATTGGGAACATTGTAACTGGAGTCTTGGGATTTATTTTTTCCATGTCAGAAGCAACTTGAGAAACTGCAAGTTGCTTCTGGTGTGAGAGAATTGGCTGTCTGCAAGGACATTGCTCAGGGGATGCCCAGATGATTGATGTGTTACCATCCTGTATGAAGGAGCCCCCGGTGGCGCAGTGGGCTAAACCCCTGTGCCGGCAGGACTGAAGACTGACAGGTCGCAGGTTCGAATCCTGGAAGAGGCCGATGAGCTCCCTCTACCAGCTCCAGCTCCTCATGCGGGGACATGAGAGAAGCCTCTCACAAGGATGATAAAACATCAAATCATCCGGGCGTTCCCTGGGCAACGTCCTTGCAGACAGCCAATTCTCTCACACCATCAGTGACTTGCGGTTTCTCAAGTCTCTCCTGACACAACAAAAAAATCCTGTATGAAGCTTCTCTTATGTCCCCTCATGGGGAGCTGGAGCTGACAGAGGGAGCTCACCCTGCTTCCCAGATTCGAACCGCCAACCTGTCAGTCAACCAGTCCTGCCAGCACAGGGTTTAACCCATCGTGCCACTAGGAGCTCCATAACTCGAGGTGCGCCCTTACCAACAGTGCTACGGATTTTGAAGAGGCAGGAATAGTTGGGATGGTCATCCATTAAATGGAAAACTGCATGCTGGTGAACAACAAAAGAGACTGAAAGATCCAGCCTCCCTTCTGGAAATCCATGTTCTCATTGTAACCTTAGAAAATATGGAATAGAGTAGTGGTCCTCAACCTGTGGGTTCCCAGGTGTTTTGGCCTACAACTCCCAGAAATCACTGCCAGTTTACTAGCTGTTAGGATTTCTGGGAGTTGAAGGCCAAAACATCTGGGGACCGACAGGTTGAGAACCACTGGAATAAACACAAAGAACTGTGAACCTGAGCATGTCAACTGGAAGTCAGCTATTACCAATAGTTCTATGGATTTTAAAGAGGCTCAAATAGAGGACAAAAGGGAGAAACATGCCAAGAGGAAGGAATGTCAAGCAAACCCTTGTTGAGACAGCCTTCTATCTGGAAATCGATGCCCTTATTGTGACAGACCATGCAGATCCAGAATAGGACCAACCACCAAGACTTTGCCCTTGGAAAACAGTCACACTCAGCCAGGAGTGATAGCCTATGATAAATTCTGTAGACAAAGTCTTAATTTTTGTGCACCGTAAACACTACGCAGCCCAATTTTTCGTGACCCTGACAGGGACCCCCATTTCAGGTCACAACCCAAGATTTAAAACTAACCTTTAAAAATGCGGAATAAACAAAGAGCTGGAAATCTGAGCATTGTAACTGGAGGTCAACTGTTAGCAAGAGTACTATGGATTTTGAAGAGGCTCAGATAGAGGGTAAAAGGGAGAAACATGCCAAGAGGAAAGAACGTCAAGCAAATCCTTGTTGGGACAGCATTCCATCTGGAAATTGATGTCCTCACTGTGGCAAACCATTCTGAATAGGACCCACCAACAAGATTCTGCCCTTGGAAAACAGTCATACTCAGCCATGAATGATAGCCTACAATAAATTCTGAGTACAAATTCTTTATTTCACCCTACTTTAACTGTCTCCATCTTTGCAGTATGTACTAGGAATACTATGAGGTAAATAAATAATATTCAAACTAATAACATATGAACAGCCCAGAGGTGGAGTGATTGGGGCTTTATTTTATAGCTGCACACTAATCTTTGTTGGTGATACAAGTTCAGAGTTCCAAATCCTAATCAACGTGGCCACGCCAAAAGATTTCAAGAGTCAAGGCAGCAACAAGAATTCAAATTCCAGGATCAGTAAAGCCAGCAGGTCACAAATAGCGAAGTCCAAGCTTGGAAGCAAAAATCCAAATGCAGAAACCAAGGTACAGTTCCAAAGTCAACAAATCCAAAGAGTCCAGAAACAGGACTACAGACTTAAAAACATTTTATTCTATGTTCTCAGTTTTTGCTTGGGAAGAGCCTATTTCCCTATTCCTCTGCTACTGTTAGATCTACTGTTAGCAGCACGCTCACATCTGAATTGTTAAAAGGGATGGAGCTTTTAACCCCTCATCAGCCTGCCCTGATGTACTGTCCTGTGCTTGCTCCTCCTGCAGGGAAGTGGTAACTACTGCTGAAGGCCCCTCTTCTGCAATAACTAAGGTAGGCTGGGAAGACTGGTAGGAGCCCCTGGTCTCCAATTCCAGTACTGTCCTTTTTACAAACCCTTGTCCTCACTGTCAGAAGGGCTCGGGACACCTGTGTTCCTTCATGGCAGGAGGTTGGGCTAATACCTCTATGATCTCTTCCAGCCTATGATTCTATTATTTTAATATACCACAGCTGTTGCAGATGACTTCATAAGCTCCCTTACCATCCATTTTTAGCAAATCAGAACTATGGGCTTTCCTCTCAAAGCCCACATGCAAAAACCAGTTGTCGCTCCTAGTGATGATCTCCCTGCTTCTTGCTGATAGCACAGGTGATCCTTTCCGATTGCAGCAGACTGGACAAGCAACAGCCAGGCACTAGTATAGGGCTCTGTAGCCAGATTAGCAGCTTGAGGACAAGCCATCCCCTTCCCTTGTGAAGATGGCAGTGTCTGGACAAGGGATTTGACTGAAACAGATTTGATTCAGCTGTCTAGACTGCTATTATGCTACTGGATACTTTGGAGTATCCTACAAACCTTGTAGTATCCACTGACATTGCTTAGTGGGGCAAAATCCGATTAAGGCAGTGGTTCTCACCTGTAGGTCCTCAGATGTTTTGACCTACAACTTCCAGAAGGCCCAGCCAGTTTACCAGCTGTTAAGATTTCTGGGAGTTGAAGGCCAAAACATCTGGGGACCCACAAGCTTAGAACCACTGGATTAAGGCCTGAAAACCAGAGATACTCCCAGGAATTTTCTGTGTATCATCAGGCAATACTACAGTCGGAAACAATATTTGTCTTTAACCCCTGTACCCCAGATTTCAATCATTTGGGGTCCTTCCACACAGCCCTGTATCCCAGAATATCAAGGCAGAAAATCCCACAGTATCTGCTTTGGACTGGGTTATCTGAATCCACACTGAGATATTGTGGGATTTTCTGCCTTGATATTCTGGAATATAGGGCTGTGTGGAAGGGCTCTTACTCTACTTCATTCTCTGCAAACCTCCCAACAAGCTTTGCAGCTAAACATAAACTGGATTATATGGCAGTGTGGACTCAGATAACCCAGTTCAAAGCAGATATTGTGGTTTATCTGCCTTGATATTCTGGGTTATATGGCTGTGTGAACGGCCCAGAATTGATTGTGTACATAAGCCCTGCTTCAGCACGTGTAAGTTAAACCTTCACACAGAGATCTGAAGAGGGCTTTATAACACTGGCTGAAGGCAGATACAGAGTTTCTGTGACTGGAAACCTGTCTTATGGTGGTTGTCCATCATGGGAGCTAGGTAACAGCCAGCTTACAAGTAACTGTAAAGGTTTCAAGATTACAAGACCTTCTTGAAACCTTTACAGTTAACAAATATCTATGCTGCTGCTGGATGTCTTGGGAGAGTTGGTGCTTCCGTATATGTGTCCACATCTGGCAAATACTCAAACAAAATATATAGGTACCTGCAACCTAGTCAGTTCCTTCCATCCCATCACAATTTAGTACAGGTGGGTTGGTAGGAATGTATGATCATGTTGGTTAGGGCTCTGAGGGGCTGCAGTGTCTCCATCCCTGACAAGCAGAGCACAAGACAGAGCTATGCAATCAGAGATCAGTTGGTTTTCAATTTCATTCCCATTTCATTCTGTGAAACAATATAAATGGGCCGAAATCTGGAACACAGCTGGCATGATGCAAGCTTTGCTCCTTGCTCTGAATGCCGTCATAATGAACATATTTTGCTCGTAATAACTCGACTATCCAGACTCCTTCTGACTATAAAGGTCACAAGGAAACACCCCCATGACTTTCAAAAAGCAAATGCAATTTAAAAAGCATGTTTCATACTGAAAACATATTGATCAACTATATTTTCTAGTACATAAAAGCTGTGCTTTTTGAAGCAGAAATGTTAACAGTCGGACTGGAAGTTACTATCTTCTGAAGCATATTAAACATTCAACTAATCCACAGGCCATTGAAAGTATTTAGAGACCATGCAACCCAACTATTGTGTCTGTATATGTTGCCAGGGCTTCTAATCCCACCAGATCTCTGACATGAAGCACTCTTGCTACAATGGTTCATTTGGATAAATGACAACCCTAATTTATGCTTGGGAACATGATGGAACAGCTGAGTTTATTCTTATCGAGCTTGTGTCCTTTGTCATGAACTATCACCGTTCAGGGGAAGTGTCCTGTGCGGGACGAGGGAGCAGGATGTCCCTTACACCTCATTATGAGGACATTTTGAAGGGAGAAACACTTTTTCTTCACCAGTACACAAGGCAAATTAGAGTTCTATTCACATTTTGAGCTCTAAAATATAAGCCATCTCAGACTGGATACTCTTCAGTACCTGGTAGATTTCTCCTCAATCTCCATTAGTGGAAAAGTGACTCTGCAATCTTCTCAAGGATTTACTCCTGGCATCTGCTTCCATTATACCTGAAGCAATTCCAACC